CAAGGCTTTGGACGCGAAAGAAGCTGACAACACATAAGATCGAACGAAAACCGCACTGTTTATTTAATATCTGAATCAACGCAACGTGTAAGATTTTTGTAATCCTCCGACAAGATCTACAAGCATGTTACAAGAGCTACTAAGAACTGTGTGTGTTGGACATCCGTGCAGCCAGTCGTTTAAGGATAAAAACATTGACTGAATACGGAAGACAGGGGAAAATTTGAGTTTCTTAAGTATTTTTGTCCTCGAGCGAAGTTCGCCGACTTAACCTCGAATGAGACTGTGGGTACTAGCTGAGACAAGCGCGAGAATCTCATGCCAAAATGCACAACCGAAATGGTTTTGTGCCTTCTTCAAATATTTCCCTTGAGAACGCACAAATGTCGGCCATGATGACACCGGTTCTCAGCGCCTGAAAAGAGCTTAGTTTTTATCACCGAAAGATATTTTCACGCCATGTCAATTATAACTGTCAGCAACATCGCCCGAGACGTATACCGCAATCGTACTGACAATTTTTATTTGTTAGTAGCACCTGTGTTTTCACGACCACGTTTCGGAGACGACTGGGCAATCGATTTATTATGCATTGTCATATTTTACAGCAGTCCTACTAATCATCGGCTGCACACATAAAATATACCGTGTATCCGAAATAAAGGCACAGCTTTGTTGCCCAGTCCAGATATTAGTCTTTTTGAAGTTCTAAAGATTGGTCGCGAGAACTGACAACGGATATTACCAATAACTTAAGAATATCTCAACTGTTTGATTAATACGCTACTTCTACCTCTCTTTTGCTTCAATCATTTTAAACGTTATTTATTGGAAACGTTTAAAGGCCGCCGAACGTTGTGGAGGAGATAACGACGGTATCGATGGAAAGCCCGACACCAGGAGGAAGAAACGCAAAAAAGATGTTGCTCTTCTAGATGGAACAAAGGAATTCGACAATCTGTTCCACGATTTTGAGTAACCACAAGTAAAAGCGTCTGTGTAGTGTGAATTTTTCAAAAAAACTATGTACATAGAAAAGATGTTTTGTTCATAATTCTTTCGGATGCCACCTTAATCGAAGCCTTTGGAATTGTTAAAGGCAACATCCTAAAATAAGCAGAAAAAAAGGCAGGATGATGAAGGAAAACAACACAGGAAATGTGGCTTAAAACTAGCTTAGAACAAGTTTTTAATAGCAGACGTAGTATGTTAAAAGAGCACAAAATAGTGATCGGAGTGAAAGATGCGGGGAGTCACAATTAGTTAATAATTCAATTAAATTCGCTTATCTGTCATAAAACGCATGTACTATCAATTATGAAACAGTCCAATCATGTCCGAATAAATTTCTTGTTGGAACTCACAACGAGAACAGCAACCGGTAATTTGGTCTCGAATCCGGTCATTTTATCACCGTCACGTGATTCAACCGCAAAAGTGGACCTTGCAATAGTCATTCATAAACGGCTTTAGATTGACTAAATGAACTGCCTTCCGATCAATGCATGACAGAGACTTTTAGTAGAGTATACTTGTTAAAAGATGAGATTTAACAATAGAAGTGTAAGCGGCACTGACCTAGTCACAATTCAAAAGTTGGTAACGTCAGCAAAAGTAAGATTAACAGCATCAAACTTGGTATGAGGAAAAAGAGGACCATTTTTTGGAAA